TATAGTTGATCAAGCAGCCAACAGTACTACAGTCAGTTACATGTACTTTTGTGATGACAGCTGTTCGCCAATTTCAAAATAACCATTCTTAGATTATAGGGTAAAATGAGCTCATTTTAATGGCTCTACACATTACACATGTTTTAAGTAGTTAAGTAGTTTTAAAGATTTCTTTTGAAATAAAGGAGTTAAAACTTGGATAAAGTTAAATTTAGAATCATAACTGGCTGACAGCACCCATCTTCAACTCTCTGGTTACTTTTAAATATGAATTTACTGTGTTTTTTTTTATAATGTGTTTTGTTTCTAACTTGTAGTTGTGTAACTGTTTTCTTCAATGTTGTATAAGCAGTTGTAGATCTAGGAGAGGAGTAAAGAAGATCTTGACCTCCATCCTTTTTTCTTCATCTTAGAAATTAATAACTATTCTTTAATGTTGGATAAGAAGGTGTAAGTCTAGGAGAGGTGTTTGGGGTTGAAGCCTGAAGATCCCTTCCATTTTTTTTTTGTTTCAAAAATTGATATTTGTATTATTTAATGTGGTATAAGTAGGCACAGGTCTAAGGGTGTCTGACTCCCTCCATTTTTTCCATTAATTGATTAAAAGAAATGTGAAACTACTTTACATTACCATAAGGTATTAAAAAACATTAGGTGTCAGTATCTTTATATGATTGGGTTATTCATTATCATAAAAGCCTTTTCTTTCTTTCGTACTTCTTCTGAAATTAACACATCTGGAGTCTACGGCAATCCTGTTAAGGCCCCAGTCAATAAATAATTATTTCTAAGTTAATACAACAGTATGAATGTTAAGTAAATGTTGCTATTTTCACACTTGCAGCTCTTATGAAATACTTGTTTAAGAATCAGTTTTTTCACTGTTTAGAAGTTAGAATTCTCATAAGTTTTTGTATTGTTGATGTCTAAAATAAGTGAATTACTGGTGGTGTGTCTGTATAAGTGGTGACTTAAAGAAATGAGAACATTATTATACGATTATAAGTAATTATAACTATGTAATTTTAATTTTAAAATGTAAAATACTTGTTTTAATTTATTTTTATTTTCGTATCAATCACATTACTAGAAATAAAGATATAATAAGCTTTAAAGTCACTGGATTATAACCTGACTGAGCTAATCATTTACAGAATATATTACCATTATTTTAACTTTGTTTCATTTATTTATGTTACTTTAGGACTACATGGTCAACATTGATAAATCCAAAATACTATGTTATTATATTGGAAGTTTCTACTTTCATATATAAAATGTTGAAGGGGATATGTATTAATTGAGTAATCAAGCATACTTTAAAAAATGAGCCTGTCAATTAATCAAATAGCAAATGCCACTAATTGCTCAGCTATAATCTCCATTAGTGTGAACATTCCTATCAGCATTGTGTTTAGTGAGCTCCTGTTATCAGAACCAGCAATAGTTATGAGGAAAGAGAAACTGGTAACTCCACAAAACGTAGCCCAATTACTGTTCCTACATCAAACTTTACAACTTTAAGCACTAAGTGGGGGTACTTCTAGTGAGAAATTCTGATGAGAAAATAAACATTAAAATGTGCCATCAGTAAATAAATGTAAAGGTTAATGTATTATACTAAGATGAATGGAGCTTTAAGACCACACAGAACAAAAATTTGTAGGCCTACTAAATAGTTATTTTGACAACTGATTGTTAAATGTGCAATAATAGGAAAGCAGTGCATTATGTTAACAATGTAAAATGAATGTTATTGCATACAATTGGGTTATTGTTGACTATTTAATAAAAAAAAGATAAGAAAAAATTTAACTTGTAAATAATGTGATTGCTTGGAAAACAGTTAATATTTATTATGTACTTAGCATAAAAAATGAATTCATTTTAATATGATTGTTTGATCTCTGAAAGCAGCTTTGGAAAAATAGAAAAATGAATAGACTATTTATTCACACAAATACAAAACTTGTTACTGATAACTGAGTTTGTTTAATAATTTTTATCTTTATAAAACAAGCCAAGCTTATTAGTATTATCACTATTGTGCAATAATAATGTTATTAATTAGTTGAAGTCTTTGTGTTAGTTTATAACTCCTATTTCATATATATAGAGTTTAGGTTATACTGTTCCTGCTAAATGACGTGAAAATTTTAACTATTCATCTACCAAGTATGTATTATTATCTGGCCAAATGAAATATCTGACAAAATGACTGAATAGGCTGGATACAAAACATGTTATTTACAGTCCTAACCCAGTTTGTTGTTTTATCAATAATATTATTTAAACACAGATCATTTATTTAAACTTAACAAAAGATGGTACGTGTATATCTTATTATGTGCAAGCTTTAGACCACTGTATTGATTGTTTAATGTGGTATATTTGCTGGTTGGATGGAAACCTGTTTCACAATTTGGCCTTTTAGGGTAATGTTTTATTGATGTTGGTCAAAATTTAGTAATTATAAGTCCGTGATTATAATAGTCATGGTTTGGTTAGTGAATGTACACATAATAGTTTGTCATGTTTTATAAATGTTGACTATTTGATTGAAATTTCTATATTTCATACAAATGAAATTTTAGCACTGCCTGCAATATTGGTGCCACGACAGACAGGAGACATTCCTGTTGATCTTCCTTCTCTGGATGATTACACCAACTCGGTCCCAGATAATACTGATTTCCCTACTGGTTTAGAGAATCAGACCTTCCCTCTTACAGGTAACTGGGCATTCTTCTAAATGCTGTAGAGAAAAACTTAGAATGTGTGTAGATTTATATTCTTATGACAGTAGTAAAATTAACTGTTTTAAAACAGCTGAACCTTCACTTTGATTTCTAAGGTCATGACCTTAGCACATCTAGAATTTTTAAAAATCAATACATCCTATAATCTTTATTTTGAATCTTTAAAAAAAGTTCAGTAATAACAATAACTTTTTTTGAGTATGGAAATTCAGTATCAGCAGTGTCTATTGTACTAAATCATCTAACTTTAGAATAAAGACATTTATGTAAGTATGTAAAAATACAGACTCTTATTGTGATTTTTTATTATATTTGCAATTGATGTAAAAATAATTGAAACGCTGACTTATTAATGAGTACTAGTATTAAAATCAGAGAGAACCTAAGTCTGTTTGTGGTTAAATCTGCCGTTTTGTGAGTACAATGGGAAGTTATAGGATTATTATTGTATTTATGATAAATCTTATGTTGCAAAAGTTTATTTTAGTTTCTCAAAATAACTGTAAAAAAATGTGTCAGAATACATTATCATTTTAATTTGGTCGCATACTTTTGATAAAACATGATAAAGCACTTATATTTACTTGTTTTGTTATCAGCATTTCTAAAAGTAAGAATGCTAAACACTGAATATTTATCATAATAGTGAGTCTACCAGTTTGTTTCTTTTAATATTATTCCAGAAACCCCTCCCCCTGGCTACATGAGTGAAGAGGGAGATAATCAGGAACAAAATGGAACTGACAGCATGGGTAAGTAATCGGTTAATGGTGGTATGTTCATGAACACTTTCCTGTCCTGAAAAAAGTAATTATTTTAATTATTAACTACTACAGTAAACTTTGCATTAGAAAGTGCTATTAATGTAAAGAAAGGACATTCTGTGGATGAGGTTAGAGGAGACAATTAATTGGTTTTATTGCCAAATTTAGTGCACCTTTTTGTAATGTAAAAACAAACTTGCACATTGTTTTTCACATTAACATGCATATAAGATCATCAAACTTATAAGTAGCTATGAAAGGAAAATAATAGTCATTTATTTCTTTGTGATTTTATCACAAGTAGTGATCAAAATATCTTTGCTTTGAAATTCACTTAAAACCATAATTGTGCTTTTGACTTTCATGTTAATTACTAGCTCAAACGTGTTTGAGAAAAAATGCTTTATGTACAATGTCGATATACTTTTAGATAAATATTTGTGTTTACAATAAAGAAGTAAGTTTTAAAATCTTTGAATAAAACACATTTTCTGATCCAAAATTATTTTGTCAGTTTTTTAAATATGTAAGGTGAAATTACACTACACAAAGGTACTCGTGCCAGGCATGACATATTTTATTGGCCTCACAGGGATGGTAGGATGTCATTTGTGCACATTATTCACTGGCAATAGCAAGAAGAAAAGTTGAAATTACTGTTGAATTCTTTAAAAAATAATAAATGAATAAAGTAAAGAAACTTAGAATCCCACCTGGGACATGATCTAGGAACTACTAGTAATTTTATGGTGATAAGATGTCTGAAACTTTTTATTGCAGATAAACATAAGCTGTTTTATAATGTTAATTTTTATACCATAACTCATACCAATGAAATTTACTGATGTTGCAAAATTTATTCTAGCCAAATTAGTTCAGTAGAATCATGTTCTTGCTAATTTATATATGTATAACTATCTGATTAGTATCTCATTATACATTTGATTTCTAACAGTAGGTGTCATGGCTAAATAATTTTGTATTGTTACATGCTTTGTTGATTGTAACGGTTCTATTAGTTGTTCTCTAAATATTGTTTGATATTATTCTCTTGTGATTTTCTAAACTTCTGAATTGTACATAAGTCACACTTGTTATCCTTTATTTTTTTAGATTCAAGCATTTTGTCATCACCAAGCCCTCCTCTTGGTAAGTTTAGAATAAGTCTATGGACAACTGATTATTATCATTAAGATCTTCTGATATTCTTTAAAAATCCATAAGTTTTTTATTGTTCATAATTTTTCACTCTTCTTTGTTTTAAAACTACTATTTAAAATTTTTTAAGCAGTAATACACAATAATAGTTTGCTGACAGGTTAATAGTTCTTGCTTTGTAGTATACTTTTAAACGTATTTATTAATGTCTTTTATGTTTTAGCTTAACCCTTTAAAGCTAATGTGTACTTATCTTGTAGGTCAATCACACTCAGTTTACTACTAGTTGTTTACTATACATTAGAGATGTAATATCTGGCCATTAAGTATCAGAACTGTAACATTCAATGAAGGTGAACTAATTGGTCAACAGCTGGAGGGGGGGGTAATAAATAATATCATCACTATCTCTGATGAAGAAGTGATGTCATTTTTGGTACATGTGATATCTGGCCATAAAGTATCAGAACTGTAACGTTCAATGAAGGTGAACTAATTGGTCAAAAGCTGGAGGAGGGGTATTCGTGGTTGAAATTTTTTTGTGATGCAGATGTATTTGCTAAAGAAGTGATTTCCAAAAAAAAGTTACAAAAAAACATGATTAAAATAATTTTAAGAATTTGCACAGAAAAAAACACTAAAATTCCATGAGCATATCTTTTACTGAATTATTAATGTATTAAGAATTTCTTCTGGACTTATGAGTAACCTAAGAAATGTTTTTTTAAACTTCCATGTTGTTTTCAATTACGCTTTGAAATTGAGAGTTCACCTATCTCTTTCTGTTTTATTCAACATGATTTTGTTTTTAACACTTCTGTTTAATTTTTTACTTCATGATTTAAAGGGAATATAAGATTTTTTATACTGATATAGTCTCATTTCTGTATCTGGCACTCAATTTTGATTGGTTTTCAGAGAAAAATAGACTGCTCTGTGGGTTAAGAAAAAATAAAAATTTAAAAACTCTGTGAATGAGTGTGGTGTTTTTTATAATGAGCTTTCTCAGTATTTATTTTTTGATTTCGTAAATTTTAGCACCTTTGAATGGTGAGATTTCATGTATAACGTACAAATTGTTTTTTATTAATAGAACATTTTAAAACATCAGTTGCTAAAAACAATATTAACATTTAAATGTTTTTTAATATACAACAGTAGTTATAAACATTTCAAGATATTTACTAGACATCATTTAACAAAAATTTTGCTGACCTAGTTTGCTCACTTTTTTATTATAAGACAGATTAATTAGCATAAAAGTTCACACAAAACTTGACTTTTAACTGTTTTAAATCATTCATTCTTATTAAGTATTTTGTAACTTAATTCTATATATTGAGGGTCAACTGAATATCAGCATCTGTTTTATGTTCATTTAAGTAAGTACCAACAAATAAGTTAGTTTATAACTATCAAATGTAAGTAATTTAAAAAAGAAACTAACCTGATTTCATTTTTTTTAAATGTAAAGCAAATACAATTAGGTCGTCAAGAAATTAATGTTGTTGTTTTTTAGACGAAAGAACTCGAACAATTTGTATGTCAAAACAAAACGCGTATTAAATGAAATAGTCTCTACTCTTATCTATGATGCTTTTCCATCTTACAATCAGGTTGTTAATGCCCTGATTAAAGAAATCACTTGGCTTTGAAGCAAAAAACATGTCGATGTCCTCTTTAACACCTTCCACATTTGCATACATTTTCCCATTAAGATGGTGTTGAAGCGAACAAAAAAAGATGGTAATCTGATGGTTCCATATCTGGAGAATATGGTGGGTGGGGGAGAACCTTCAAACCCAACTCCATAATCTTGTGTTGCGTCAAATGTGCCGCATGTGGATGTGCATTGTTGTGGAGAAGAAGAATACCTTTCCCATTGAGGAGTGAAGTGCATTTCTGATGAAGGGCTTGATTTAAATGTTCCAGTTGCTGACTATAGATTTCTGCATTGACAGTTCACTATAAGGGATAAGAGTATACTACACTTTACACATTGTATAGGCTATACTAACGTGATGTTTAGGTGTTTCATTTAACCATTATACGTGATGTACGTTTTTAGGGGGGGGGGGTGGTCAATAAAAGTGTTCCACAACGAGACATTAATTTCTTGATGACTTAATAATTATTCAGTCTGATATATAATCTTTACAGACATTTTAAACAAAGCAACATATTTCTGAAAAAGTCTATCTATGTAAACATTTCAAAATTTTCAACAAATTTTGTGTAAAATAAAATGGGATTTTGAGTTAACCGATAGTGTGTTTTGTTTTGGGTAAATTGTATTAGACGTTCAGCCAGTTACATACACTGAACCAGCATTCTGGTGCTCTATCTCATACTACGAGCTCAACACTCGTGTTGGAGAGACTTTCCATGCTTCGCAACCTTCTCTGACTGTGGATGGGTTTACTGATCCCTCAAGCTCGGAACGATTTTGTTTGGGGTTGTTATCCAATGTCAACAGGAATCCTGTGGTGGAACAAACAAGAAGACACATCGGTCAGTTATTTGATTTAATTCTGTATTCTAGAAAAATCAAAATTGCATTAGAAAAACACAAATTTAAAAGAATAAAGTATGAAGACAAAATTTGATGAGTTTTCATTTTTTCTAAGTTGCATGCTTGTTAAGAATAAACACCGTTCTGAATACCAGTACTTGTTCTTGTAAAATATAGTATGATTAGTTTCAGTTTTGTGTGCTTTGATTGTTCCCCTTCATATTATATATGTATGTACTTTAGAATTTTTAAAAACATTTTACACGTGTTATTTTTCTCATTTTTAAAAACATTGTCCAAAGAAACATGATAAATATATCTAGCTTTTCTGTTTGGCTTAAACATACTTCGGTATAAAGACAAAAATACGAAATCCTATAACCCAAGCACTTTTGAAAAGTGGACATTTCTTCACAAGGGGCCCCTTTGCCCCCTGATGAAGAAAAGTCTTCCTTTTAAAAGCTCTTAGGTTATAGGGTTTCATAGTTTTGTCTTCAGTTGATTTTTGATTTCTTGAACCTATGTGTTTTCCTAACATCATGAACACACTTTGTTATATTGATGCAATATTTAAAAAACAATTAGAAAGAGTAGCACATTGGCTAGAAATGATAGATATAAAATAAAATTGAAAAGTTGTCTTATTAAGTTAGGCTAGCATGTTGCCAAAGAAATAAACTTGAATTTTTTTAATATTCATAGATTTTTAATAACAAAGTTGTAAGAAAAAAATTTCTGAAAACTTAAAAGTTTAATCCTTTCCTGACAAGCATTGTGACATGTTACCCCTGTTTGTTTTGTTCTCACATTTAAAATTCATAATCTCATTGCATGAAATTGGTAAACACTTTCTGCATAATACAGTTTGTGCTTGAAAAAAATTATATAAAATGGTTTAATGTTTGTATAACATTTGGAAGTTTTATTTTGAAATGCTGTTTTTAAAAAACGTTTCAAAGTACTTAAATACTTTTTTTTTTTAGTTTCTGTTGTTTTTTTTTCTATTATATGACTAAAATAATGTAAGTATATCCAGTAGTTTTTTTATTTTTCAATAGAACTATAATTGTGGTGTCTGATTTGTTCTTATAACAGCTTACTCATTTTCTCGAATGTTCGTACAACCTCTTACACATGATGAAAGTAACTATTGGGAAATATGAAAGAAATAAAACTACATTTTTTCAAATATTATTGATCAGAAAGTTGCACTTTTTTCAGTAACCAAGAAGCTTGCATGTGTTGAGTAACATTAACTTTAATAATACATACAAGTAAAAAGACCTTTGTGTCATCTGATTAGTTTTCTCTTCTCATTAACGTGAAATATCCTTACCTGATGTCATCGTGTAGGAGAATATTTCTGTATTCTTTAAGACAGACGTAACACAAAACTATTACCTTGAAAGAAAAGAACATAAAAAAATAAACTATACACATATTTCAGGTTTGTTGGTTACTACTAATCTTTGTAAACTTTATACTAGAATCCTGTGAGATTTCACATTAGTTACTTTTACAGAAACCTTGAATTACTGCTTACCCCACTTTATTGTCTGTACACTGACAGAGATAATCATTTTAATATCTGGTTTCAAGGCTCAGATTTATTAGTTACTGTTCAACCCGCTTACTCTCATATCATAAAAAACCTTTGTATGGAAAAAATCATTGATCAAAAAAGGAAAGTCACGTAAGAAACAAAACATGGATAAGTATTTGTAAGGAATGACAGTTTCTGAGTAAATATAGACCTATACTTCAGAATGGGCAAAAAAATTATCAAAGAATCTATAAGACCATTGTATATAGATAATACACCTTGGAGCTGTACAGAGTTCAAACATTTTTAAATTTTTCTTGGCAAGGTTACAAAATATCAAATATTTTCAAGCAAAAGTTTATTGAAATAATCAGAATTACCATTATTACTTAAGTTATGAAATTTGATATCAAAGTGTGCATTCTACACCAGAGAGTTGTTCTCTGGCCATAATAAGATAAAGAGAAAATTTAGGCAAAGTAGACTTACTTCTGCCTTACGTTTAGCACAACGTAGTAGTTAACTATCCATACTGTAAAGTTGAAGTTCTGTGATTTATGTCCAATTGCTATAAAAAAATAGAAATAATGATAAAAAAAATTGCACTTTCCTTTTTGGGGTTGTGGGTGTATTATAAGAATGATTGTCAAATCCTACTGTTAGGTCTGATAAAGAGTAGCCTTAGAGTTGGCAGTGGGTGGTGTCAACTAGTAGTCTTCCCACTTGTCTACTATCACTTGAAAATTAGGAACACAAAGCTTTGTTCAAAATTCAACCAACATAATTTTTTTGATGCCATTTCAAGAAAATGTTGTCAAAACATTGTAGATTTGTTACTGTGTTAAACTTGTAATAAAGTTTTTACATTGCCCATTCAGACCATCTCTAAACATCAGTAGTCACAAAGCAGGTTATTTTTAAGTGGAGTTTTTTTATTTTTAGTAGTGTCATGAGATTTATTATCTATTTTAACATTTTTTATCTCTAAATGTGTAACTTATAACACATACTGCTTTATTATACATTTTTCAAATTTAGTTTATAATTATGCATTAGCTTATACTACTATTTCTACTTACCATATATAAATATATTTTCTTGCACTTTATTAAAAATGTATTAAAATTATAATGTCTACATTTGTTTTGCATTTAATGCATTTTTTCTTTTAACATATTTACAAACTTTCTTTTTAACTATGAGAAAAATGTATTTTAGGCTGTTCACTAGTATTTATCAATGAAGATTTCTTTTGTTAGTTTTGAAATGAAATAGTCATTGATTTTTACAAACAAACTTGATTTGGGCAGGCCGAGGAGTTCGCCTGTACTATATTGGAGGAGAAGTGTTTGCAGAGTGCCTGAGTGACAGCAGCATCTTTGTTCAAAGTCCTAACTGTAACCAGAGATATGGTTGGCACCCAGCAACTGTCTGTAAAATTCCACCTGGTCAGTATCCAAATTATGTTAAGTTATGGGAAAAATACTCCTTAAATATTGCAATTTTTTACATCTTTAAATAAATATGAAATCTAGTCTATGACTTGATTTACACTTGTCACTCAATTACACCAGTTTTGGGGAATTCTATCCCTCACTCTACATATAATTTTCACAACTTTGTACATTATTCAAATATGTTACTTTTCTCCTTAATTCATCATTATTTTTATTCATTATTTTCTCATGACTGGACTTATTTATAAGTATTTGTTCTTTTTTTGTATGGGATTTGAATATGCATTATTTCATGTGACCTCACTGAACACTGAAATATTTCGTTTAATTCAGTACTTCACCTGAAAGTGTGTTTTAGATACCTCATTTTCCATGACTCGTAAGGTATCCATTACTTCAGTTTGTCTCCATCTTGTCTGAGAATATTCTTTATTATTTCCTAGTTCTCAACTTTTGTTAAGCTTTTTTTTCATGCTCCAAGACATAACCTGGTGTTCATGTACTATAATTACTGATTACTTCATCTGGTTTAAAATTGCCTTAAATTTTCAGTGTAATGTTTTGTACTTTAAGTAACTTTTGTTTCCTTTATGATATTACTTGGTGTTCTTTTTCTTTTATTATTTATCATCTACTAACTTCTCCTGGTTTACAAGTATTTTTTAATTTTCTATGTCTTATATTGGTATTTAACTGACCTTTATTTTTTCTAGTTCTACCTAGTGGTGACGTTTTTTTCAATTATTTTTTATAATTCTTCTCATGTACAGGTGCCTTCTATTTCTACATGACATCTCTTGTTTTAGAAAATAATTTTAAATGAATCCACTTAACTATAAAGCATTTGTTTTAATTTCCATGATTCCTTGTAGTGTGTCACTGTAAATTTTCTGTGAATTCACTTTGTATTGAAATATTCTTTATTTCACCATGTCTCAGTATGATTTTAATTATATATTGCATGTAAATAGTTTCTAATGTAGTTTGTAACTCATTTTTTATTATTAAAGAATACTTTCCTTTCTAAAGATATTGATCTAAATTATTTCTATTGTTTATGCCTAATTAAACGTTATTTTAGGCTCCATTTTCTAGCTCTGTTGTTTGACTATATGATATTTTATCTAAAAAAAATTTCATGATTTTATGGAATCTTTGAATTGTTTCTGTTTGCTACATTCATGTAGAACTCCTATCTTTGATCATGTCTTAAAAATCTGTAAAGTTTTCATAAGGTTTGTAGTTTCATGTGATCATTTAAAGCTGAAAATTTGATCAAATTTGTCCGTATCTGTTATTACTATATTGTTTTAATGATGTATGTAGTATCATGTATAGACAGTTATTGGCCTTCTTGTTTAGTTGATTTATCAAATTTTTGATTCTTTGCGTGTCTTCACATCATGTGAATACCAGTGATTTAACAGTATCTTTGTGTGTCTTCACATCATGTGAATACTAATGATTTAGCAGTATCTCTGTGTGTCTTCATATCATGTGAATACCAATGATTTAACAGTATCTTTGTGTGTCTTCATATCATGTGAATACTAATGATTTAGCAATATCTTTGTGTGTCTTCACATCATGTGAATACTAATGATTTGGCAGTATCTTTGTGTTTCTTCACCTCATGTGAATACCAATGATTTAACAGTATCTTTGTGTGTCTTCACATCATGTGAATACCAATGATTTAACAGTATCTTTGTGTGTCTTCACATCATGTGAATACTAATGATTTAACAGTATCTTTGTGTGTCTTCATATCATGTGAATACTAATGATTTAGCAGTATCTCTGTGTGTCTTCACATCATGTGATTACTAATGACTTTATAATATCTTTGTTTCTTCTCCTCAAATGAATTATGTTTGGAGAGGATGTAGAAAGTGTTATGTGCTTGGATACTGTAACACATATAGAAAGGTATAAATTTGTCATGTTTATTAGAGTTCTTGGATTGTTTTGGATTTATTTAAAGTTGAAAGAAATGGAAATATCTTGGAAACCAATAGTATTTCCTTTTGAATATTCTTGAATGAGGTAATCCAACTTTTGACCAATGAAGATTCTGACAATAAGGGGTAAAACATCTGAGGGCAATTTTTTTTTCGGTCATATACAAATTTTATCACTTCACTAGTATAAAAATTACTGACATAACTATTTGAATTAATGTTGTATGTTTTTTATATCCTAAATTTTTGTTCAGATTGGTTTAAGATTTTACCAAAAGAGCCGAGTTGGACAACACTCTTCTAAAAAAAATCAATATTTTCAGTTTTTAAGTATGAAGCATTCACACAAAGATATGATTGTTTGTTTGTACTTGTTATATCAAAAAAAATGTTAATGTCTTCTCATTAGGATGCAATTTGAAGATTTTCAACAACCAGGAGTTTGCAGCACTACTGGCACAGTCAGTGAGCCAAGGATTTGAGGCTGTTTATCAACTTACTAGGATGTGCACAATTCGCATGAGTTTTGTGAAGGGTTGGGGAGCAGAGTATCGGCGACAGACTGTTACTTCCACACCTTGCTGGATTGAGCTGCATCTGAATGGCCCTTTACAGTGGTTGGATCGAGTTTTAACTCAGATGGGCTCACCTCGTATACCATGTAGCTCAATGTCTTAAATGCCTTTGCTGGATTTAGAACAAAATAAAAGAATGATACAATACTCGGTGAATAAAAACCTGCTTCTGCGAGTCTGCTGAAGTATTGCTTTGCTGTGTAAGCTTTTTGCTCCTTATGTGTGTGTGTGTTTTATGTGGATATGTATGCTTATATTTGTAGGCAGCAGCACATACATTTTGAATAAGATAGCTCGGGAATAAAAATGACCTGAATGTTTATAAATTACCTGGATCCTGGTATCATATGCATTATAAAGATCCAATTTTTTCTACGAAATACATAAATTCTAGTTCTCCATAAACCTTTTAGTTCTGGGTTTCTTTTAAACCATCTTGTTCCTTTCCTTTATAAACATTTTAGATATCACATTTTTGCATAAGCCATGTACAGTGGGATTTATTTGTAACAGAAATCAACTGTCTGTTTACATAATGGTAGCTGAAGCTAATATGGCTTAATACAATTTACATGGCTGTACGTTTTATTTGTTATCTCAACTAAGATTCCAGCAAACATCACAGGTTAAAGTGCTGATGCTACCTTACTATCATGCTGAAATTTTGTACCAGTAAGTGAGACTTGTTTGGCCTGGACCTACAGTATTGAAACTTGTAGATTGGTAGGAGAAAAATTTTTTCTACCATTGTATTGATTTTTTTTTTTTTTTTCACAGCTTTCATCAAGTGTGAAGTAGAATTTTCAAGTTTCATTATTGCTTCTTTTGAATAATAGCATGTTAGGCATAAGGATTTATTGTTATATATTCTTTAAGAGCTTTAATGTGCAATCTCCATTTTCTTAAAACATTTCATGCTCTTGGTGGCATTTTGGGAGAACTTGTGCTTAGAAACTGAATGAGGAAAAAGGAACGGTCAATTTTCTGAGAGACATGAAGACTTCCTTGTTGTGAATAGTAATCTGAGCTATGAATGGTCTGAAAATGAAGCAAGATCTTGGCAAGTTGAAAGTTTAGCTGGCATTATTTTTAAATGTTTTCATCACTGCTGTTATGATATAGTGTGTATTGTTCTGCTGATCATGTCATGTGATTGCTAACATAAAATAACCATGATTATCCAATTGAGAAGAATATTTCTCGTCTATTATTACGTAGTTAGTTGGCAATAGTCTGTTTATACGTAATATTGAAGTAGTTAGGCCTACCTGTTTGCTGAATTCTTAATGCTAAGAGTTTAAAATATTGGATGTTAAACCTAATATTCATACTGATGCTTTAAAATTGTAATTGCTTAGATATGTACATCTGTATAAACTTTAAAATTGGCTGTTATAATACCTAATGGCTGTACGTATTGATGAAACACAGTTCATTTGATATATAATGCATTTTTGTTTAGGTTCAAATTAACACACGCAGAAGGAATAGTTGAATATCATCTCATATGATGTGATATATTTTTATCTTAACTATCCATATACAGAAAAATATCTGTGTCTTGGAACCTTTGCATTAATCTGTTGAGGATCTTGCACCTGGGGACTTTATTGCATAAGGTGCACTTTATAAGGTGTCACATGTGACTCTTTCAGTAACTTTAGTATGCATCATTTACAAAATGTTTAAGTGATGAAGTTATATTTGCCACGATTGCTAATATCAAAGTAAAGTCATCATGTTGCTAAGCGATTCAGATGTTGTTGTTTTTTTTTCTTTAATAAGTTAGTGAAAGAGTGGAAATAAAGTACAATTGGTGTAGTAATAGTTTCATAAGATAAAAGATGGTCTTCAGGGGGTAGATAGGCCCTCCAAGATACTGGACATTTCCAGGTGGGCTATGGCAAGTCAGGGCTTCGGGCCAGGAATGGTTATGTGAACATAGTCCTTTACTTTTTCCCAGGCCTTCATCACAGAACCTATCCACCTCTAATGGTATTTGGCTGGAATATTAATGAATGGTTTATACATTTATAAGAAGAAACAAAAATTGGATACGAAGAAAACTTTTAATTTTTAACACTGCTGCTAAATACAGGTGTTGGCATTTTCTTAAAGTTTATGTATGAGAGGGTTTGAATTTTTACCAAACTTACAAACAAAAAAAAACATTTTTAAATTAAAAAAATGTGATGTTATTATAATTTATGATATTTAAAATGGTTTTGAACAAATGATAACTATATTAAAAGTACATTATGTAAAAATGATTCATTATTGAAGTGTGTGTAATCATGATATTTACTTGTTCCTGTTGAAAATTGTATTCTGAAATTATCGTGCATTTTATTAAGAATTAGACATAATTGTTAAGCAAAATTCTTCCAGTTATGTATAAGTGTTTGAAATTTATATTTAACGTATGGCTATATTTTTAGAGTTGGTTGTGTGTGACTGAAATACATTGACGTATTGTTGCCTTGAAGAAGTTAGATGAAGAATCTGGAAGTTTACATGTAAATACGTAAAATTATTTTTAATGGATTTATTGGTGTGATCTTGTTGAAGTTTTATCAAATCCATTTTTTTTCTTCTGCAAAAGCTCTATAACAGTAGTGTTGAGTTGAGTGTATATTTTTGATTGCTAATAAATATTAGTAAAGTAGTAGCAGTCTTACGGAGGTTTTGTAAACCATACTTGAAAATAATGCAGGGTTTTTCTTTTTAAAAAAAGTATAATAACTAAAAATGTATAAACTGCCTTTTTAAAATGCTGATATGAAGTTTTTTTACAGGATATATTCCATCTGTTGAAAGTGTTCATTCAATAAGTAAAAACTATGATAATCTTTTTGTTTTTTAACAATTAGTTTACTGGCTATTCCAGTATTTTATTTTTTTGTTTGAAACAAAAAATGTCAAATTCCCCTTGTTTAAACACGTTATGTAACTGCTTAAGCATTAACGAATGTTTTTATTTCTACATCGTACTTTGTGTCTTGCTGTTCCAATTGTACAGTACATTACCTGAATAATATAGGAACTAAGTTAATTTTATGTCTAGCTTTATAACCATCAGGATCATTTGTTTAATTTTAAATGTAAAGAAAAAATTGAGTGGTACTGAAAGTTTTTTTTTTTAAGTTTATTGTCATAGCTGAAATGGCTTTACAAAATTGTTAACAAGAAAAAAAATCAAATGATCTTACTAGTGTTTTTGGGTCAAAGTCTTTCTTTGGTTAATCCATAAATGTTGTTAATACACACTGAATGGGTAAGCAAATTGAAGCACATTAGTAGAACAGATTTGTTTAACTTCATGTAAATTATTATTAATTCATATTGGAGTTTATGTGGTACCTGTAATTGTGGAAATAAAGCAAGTGAGTTACATAAAATAGATAAACTTTGTTGAAAATTAGCCAAGTATGATACTCTTACATTAATAAAATTTTCATTAACCATAAACCTTTTGGAATAAGTCGTCCAAAACTGATACAATAAACTTGTTTGAACTTAACTTCATCCACCTTAATAATATCTTGTCTAGTAAAACTTATTAACTGATTTTTGTCATTTGTTCATATCATTATGACAACATAGTATGTTCAACATCAGAGGTCTGCATACTCTTAAAAATGTCATTTTATATGTAATTATTTCCTTCTTTAAATTGTTTAGTTGTTAGAATAAGCCTTTTCAGTACCAGAGAACTGGAATTAATTATAGATTAAACGCATGGTCGAAGTTAGTTTTAGTTGTTCTTTCTGTCCAGTACCAGAGGTCCAGAAATACTTACATTTGTACTTTAGATAGACCAAAGTTATAGAAACATTGGGATAAACTGTACAGTGTGTGTAATATCAGTGATACAAAAGTAATGAGGATTTTATTCTGGTTATGTCAATGAAGGCATTGGGATCAGCTGTACATTATGTCTAGTACCATTTTACTCTGTGTCCCAGTATTATTTTAAGATCAGTATATGTAATTTTCATAAACAGAGTAGATGAGAATTGTAACCAGTATCAGAAATGTGGAAGCAAAACCAGATGTCACTCAGGATCCCACTGATTCTTCATGATCTGTTTTTGTCTAGTGTTAGACTTCATTGATGGAACAACTCCAACTGTTCTAAGTTTTGGAATGTCAGTTACTGAAGTGAGTAAAGAGAGGGTCAAGTTACTCATTTAGTCTTTAAAGCTTTTAATGCTTAACTAATTACCTAGCTTTTAACTTCATCAAGACCAGAAATATTGAGTTTCATACTAGACTTGATATAAATATATTTTAAGAACAGAAGACCCTAAATTATCACACAGATTCTTACTTAAAGTTGATCTACTGTATGTGCTGAATCTTGTGGAACAAGTGATAACTTAAAAAAATTGTTATATCAAAATAATGTAAGATTAAAATAAAGATTTTTCAGTGATGTGAAATACCATAAATATATTCCAGAATTATATTCTTTCTTTTGGTATGTAAAGTGGGTGCTAAACATCTCAAAAATTACGTTTCAGTTTTTATGTAATATGTTATACCTTTTCTATTTCACAGACCTTTTTGATGTAGTTAAATGAAGTTTATTCATTAGATCCTATTTTGCTACATATGTATGTATCCGTAAGTATTTCTTAGAGAACTTGTATTTTGCTGATAATTAACCTGTATTTAATATTTTGGGGTCTCATATCTTCCTGTAGCTTATAAGATCATACATCCATGAGGATATTATTTTGTTAAAATAAAAACTTTATATAAAAAAGGTGTATTGTATTAGCTTCTACCAAAAGCATTGAGTGTAGATTTACGATGATTAATGACTTGTGAGAGTAAGTAAACTAACAGTCTGATATATAAAGGTAATGTTAGTTACTGCTGTATAATTTGAAAAATAAATCATTAGAGTTGAAAGTGAGATCAAATATACACACCATAAATTTCAGTCAATTATCACATAGTTAATCATCATGTTATTATTTTTGGCTGTAATATTAAGCATTGGTGTGTATTGTGTTTCATTCCTTTTGGTCTGGCATGGCTTGGTGGTTAGGGCTCTTGACTTGGAATCTGCAGTTCAAATCTTGTCACTGAACATGCTTGTCCCCTCATCCATGGGGGTGTGACACTCAATCCCATTTTTTGGTTGGTAAAAGAGTAGCTACTCTCTCTCTATCACTTCAAAACTTCGGATGGCTAATGCAACTAGCCCTTGAGTAGCTATGCACAAAATTCAAAAGGAATAAACCTTTTTTTCCATCAAAACAATTACATTTTATGCTTAAGTATGTGATAATGTAATTGCTGGGCACGGGTTGGTCCTATGGTAAACTGTGTTTCAAATGCTGAAGAGCTGGGTTCGAATCTGCATAGTACCACAAAATATTCTCTGCACTTTAAGCTGTGGGTGCATTATAAAGAGTTGTAGTCAATCCCGTAGCAGGAATGGTTGGTGCTGTTGACTGGCTGCCTACGCTGTGACAAATAGTTCAAAATTATAGAATGCACCAGGTAACCTTAGTAGCTTTGCTATAAATACGAAAATACCAAATTCTAATTTCTTTACAAACTTACAGCACTTTACTTAGCTATTTTTTCAGCCATCAAATTCCACAATGAATTAATGTTACAATTAGTAGTACTTAATATGGTAGTTAATAATAACCTTTATATTCAACATGGTTATCTTGGATCATATATAAATTACTGTACTGTCTCATATTTGACCATGCTAGTAAGTTGAGCAGTTGTGAAACTGCAAGTCTTAATATACAAATTGTGTAGTTTTTATTTCTACATGATGATTTTTGACTGGTTTGCAAAGTTTTAATTTTCTTTGTGCTATGATACAAAAATGCTTTTGTGAATTCTTCTGTAATAAGAATATATTCATATTTTTATCCAAACTTTGTTTTGCACATCTTCAAGACTGAATGATCAGTGTTCCAAATTATCATCTAATATCTGTTCTCATGATGATATTTTAATTTACATTAAATGTAAATACAATAATTTGTTCTAGTAAAGATTTTACTTACACTTGTTTATTCTAATGAGAATTTATGTTCATTACTTCGTAAAAACGTTGCCGATAAAACTCATTAAATACGGTGTTTACCTTGTACACTATTGTTCCTTTAGTATCTGAACAGGTAGCCATTCATTAAGATTTTAGTGATCACTGTTTTGATACAGTGTAAAACCACTCTTATTCAAAGACTTTGGATGGGTTGTTCTAAGGTTACTTGGAAACCAGACACAGGGTGTACATGCTTTGTGGCAGACGGCATTATCTTGCTGACTTTTGGAATATGCTTATTTCTGATCACTTACATTCATGGGCATTTAGATGAAATACATCAGAAGTAAGTACAAGACTTAACACTTAGGTTGCATCATAACCACCGCCATTACCCTTTAAACTTAACAAAAAAACAATTATGATTGAATTAATCATCTTTTTCCAGACTGTTATTTCATTTAAAAAAATAATAATAATTTAGACATTCTGAAAGATGATTGTACATCCATTTTCAAGAATCCATGTTTAAAGAAAGTACGAAGCATAGACCTCGGAAATGGCATCTGTCCATATTTGGCTGTACTGGCTACAGTAAAGTAATCATGAATTGAAGGGTAAGTATTTTTGGAAATGTGTCCAAGAGGTACTGGAATAATTTTGATATTTTAAAAACTCCAGTGTTTATTCATGGAAAAGAAGAAAAAGTAAAGAAAGTAAAAAGGGGAAATAAAAATAATTATTGACTATTGTTTTGTTTTTTTGCCAAATACATGCTACCATGGCATAATTGTCAACCAGAAGTGTCAACCAGAAAAATTAGTGAAGGATTTTTGGAAGAATATTTAACTCTTTGTGAATTTATTACAAAGATCATTTCTTGAACATTCTTAACAATTATATAATAATTTCTACCAGAAGAGCTACTGAAACTCTACAAAAAATAATTACAATTAAAAATAAACAATTTTAATTATGAGTAAGAGGTAAACTACAGACAAACTCTTTTTACCACTCTGTCCTCAGTTATCTGTTGGGTACCCTCACTGCTAGTGGTGCTTTTGGTCCTTAACCTGTGAATGCCTGACAAAGTTGGGCCTGCTTAGTGATATTAGCAAGAACTGAATCAGAATTGTCACAAAGTTCTATGTACCATGTCTATAACATTTAACCAATGTAGTTATTTCTTTTTAAGAAACGTAATGTTATATATTAGTGATACTGTGACTAAAATACATTTTGAATTATTAAAATTTAGTACTATACATTACAGAAAAGCATGCAAATTTGAATCTTGCTTAGTATGTAGCAACTTCCAGCTAGATCTCCACAGAACAATAGCACAGCCATGCTACTACTTTTATAGTTTGGTATAAATGCAAATATTTCTTGAGCAGCCATGGAAATAAACTAGCTACTTTCTTCAGGAATATATGAAACAGAAACCCAGGCACTTCCAACTTGAGTTAAATTAGTGTTCAGTACCTTCCTATTGGTGTGTTACAAAATATTTGTAGTAAAACAAAATAGATGCAGCTATGCCAGGATTTATTTTTCTTTAAGTATAAAAGTGTATTGTAGCATTACTTACATAAATTCTTATAGAGATGGTTAAAATTATAATGTATCAACTTAGTTCAAACAAAACTTCTGATCAAAGCAAGCTACCTATATAGATCACAGGGTTAGACTGTGGGATTTTGATGCTAAAAACCGAGTTTCAATATCCATGATGTGCACAGATAAGATAATCCATTGTGTAGCTTTGCACTTTACAACAAACACAGCTAAGTTAAAAGTTTGCTGAAGTTTTTGTTAACCATGATAAGTTACTAGATAGTCCAATGTAACACTTTTGATTTTCATACTGCCTATAGTTCTGATGACCATGTTTTTCCTCATACAACTCTTTAAGTGTATAATGCTCCCAAAGTATATATATACATTGTCCTTCCCCATTTTTAGGAAATATGTTGTAGCTTGACTTGATACGAGTTTAATAATCCAGTTTTCACTTGGAACCTTGAGGAATATTGATTTTATTTTAAAACATTTTAACCAAAACACCTAAAAACCAGAACCTATTATCACTTTACATATTTTCCTAAATTCTGATTGCCAAAAAATGTTAACCACTTAGAAAATTCGAGGTCTTGTGGTTGGGGTGTTCAACTTGCATATTGGGTTGCAAAATCAAAACTTCGCTGAACATGCTTGTTGTTAGATGGAGCGAATAATGTGAGCAAATATTGCTGTTACTAAAGCATCAGCCAGGTGGTTAAGATGCTCAACTAGCAATCTGAGGGTCACAGGTTCTAATTTCCGTCCTACCAAACATGCTCGCCCTTTCAGCCGTGGGGGCATTATAATGTGATGGTCAATCCCACTATTCGTTGGTAAAAGAGTAGCCCAAGAGTTGGAGGTGGGTGGTGATGACTAGCTGCCTTCTCTCTAGTCTTACACTGCTAAATTAGGTACGGCTAGCGCAGATAACCCTCGTGTAGCTTTGCGCGAATGTCAAAAAACAAATAAACAAACTAAAGCATCATATAGTGGGAGTTCCAGTCCTAGCGTATCCATGATAGCACTGTTATTTGTTGTTAGATACTAATGCCATTGAGCGTCCAATCAGAGCAGTATTATTGTAGTTGCAAGATGGAATGAAATAATTACGTTTTATAGTTGTATGCTCACTGCCCCTGTATGCAGATACTGTACGAAGAAGGTACTACTTACTGTTGTGGTCTTCTTGAAATACTATCAGTATTACTTGTTTGATAGAAAGTTCAGCATTTGGGTGGACCGTTGATCGCTTAAGTGGTTTATGAAATTTAAAAATCCAGAAGGGAAGATTGCACATTGGATGATAATATTGCAAGAATATCACTTAGTCATATGCATCAACCTGGCATGCAACAAAGATATACCAATGGATTGTGTCGCTGCATGGTGATATTTTGTCTGTTTCTTGAAAGTCGTGGCCCTGGACACCACGTGGGAGTTGAATTCTGCAATAGCAAAGTCACGTCATACTGTAGGTGACAACACCAGTGGTTGGATACCATGGTTAACACTTCAGGAATTCTGGGAAGAGCAGTTGGAAGACATGGATTTAATGTAGGTACTCCTTGCTGTGAAGAAAAGTGAAACTCTGCCAGTTCAGACTGAGGAATGCAGCATGAATGCACATAACATGTAGCAGCTTGTACAAATGTGGACCACTAGCTGAGAAATGAGAGCTCTCGGCAGAATATTCTCCCGACTTTGCATGATACGAAAAATAGTGGAGGGCACCAAGGTGTTATACACACTTGTACTGATGTTTGATGGTGGTCCTCTTGGCTACATTCAAGTTGAAACATTAAGCAATTATATGAATGTTATTTGGTGTGTTCTTCCCAATGGGAAAGTTACCTTAAA